TGAGATGAATCCCACACCAGATACCCTTTTGAAAGACAGGCTTTAATTAAACACATGCTATCAAGCTCAGTTACTGGATTGGATTAATCAGCTTGTACTACAGAGGCTGAAGTTAGTGGTTTCTATGATTTAGTGGTTTCTATGGATCTGTACTCTCATCCAAACTTACATAAGGATGAGAGACCACGAAAGTATATCCCTGATTATACATTATTATCTTCTAATAAGCAAACTGATCTAGGTAGAATAAATTTCATCAACTAAAAAAACCTCAAGATTTTTTAGTGAACTGCAATAAAAATTGTCCAACAGGACTTTTGTGGAAATGCATTCTCTTCAGCACAGTTTCAAGCTATTGTATCTATCCTTGTTCCAAAAAACTCCATCTTAAACTTTTTTTTTTTTAATCTAGTGCTATGTGAAATTAAATTCAGTCTTATGATCTCTTAATTGACAGAAAAAATTCTGAGGAGCATCTTGATTTTTGCAGTAATTGAAAAAGAAGTTCACAACCTACATTCATTCTTTTTAAGTGGCATTTAACGTAAATGCATACATATTTTTCATTATGCTATTTTTCATAACATCTTAAATTCTCAGAAACCTCTCATCCTCAATTTTCTTGGAAGTCCAGAGATGCTCTTTACCACTCAGATTAAATGAAATTTGCATATTTTTGCCCTCTAGTGCTAGTAGATTTTCTCTGTGTCCAAAAATTATAACTTTTTTTCCTATAAAGTCTCTAGACACATCAATATGAGTCAAGAGCCAACGGCCTCTCATGCCCATCCATGGCACAGAAACAAAAGCTTCAGAACTTTTCAGAAGCAATGAAACATAAAAAAACTGTCTAGCTTTGTATCTAAACTACTTCTTCTCCTTAGGTTCACTGGAATAACTTGTGTATAATGTGTTGGCTTGGAAAGACATTCGTATTCAAAACCTGAAGGATCATATCTCCAGTAGAGGGGCCCGAATGATACACACTCTCTCAAGACCTGGCCCATCAGCTTAATTGTCACTGCAGCTAGTCCAAGATCTGTGTGAAACATTGTGTGTTGTGGAAATGAGGGTAAGGGAGATGTTTGTATTCCCAGGCCAAATGCCCGCTCCAAAGCATAAGGAAATAAACTCATCCCATTTGAAATTCTTTGCATGGACTGCAATTTAATAGCTTCACTTTTTCCCTTCAGTGATCCCACTGCTGAACTGTCAGACCAAATCACTGCAAAATCAGGACCAAGACCTTTTACGATGATATCTTTTATTACCAAGGTGCCATATTCAGTTAGAGTGCTGGAGGCGCTGCCTTCTCCACTAGAACATCAGATCTATTCAAGCAGCGCAGTTGTGTAACTCCTCTGATCGGGGGTAAAAGAGCTCACAGGAAGAGAAACACTCTAAGTCATAAGGACATGGTTTTTTAAATCAAGGGAGGCTACGAGACGTTACAGAGAAAAAACTCTTTTCTGTTTCGTTTGCCAAACTTCACAGATAGAACGCTGACAAAAAGACAGAAACTTTGATAACCTCCATCTGCGATCCATATTGTTTCAGCTCTACTACAGACAGTTATTGGAAGTTTGTAAGTACCTAGTGGCATCTGTATCAAATATGACATGGTAGAGATGCAGCTGAGATCACAGCATTATTAAAGCTTTAAATTAATGGATTTTCTAGCCTTTTTGCTTGTGTCTTCATTCAGAGCAGGCCTGGCACTGTGCGGGATGAATAACCTGTTAAAGACTATTACATGCATTTAAAGAAGCCAACTCTGTCATAACTGGAAAACCTGAAGTATTTAAAACCTTCTGAGATAGCAAGTCATCAGCCCATCTATCACAGAGACAGGAATATCGGACTCACTGAAGAGATAATAATTCAACAAGGCTTCAGTGATATTTATAAAGACTTCAGGCTACTGAAACGCTACTACTTACAGGCTATTTTCCTCTTTTAGAGCAAAATCTGCTGTGGATCTCACTAAGAGAGCTGGTACCTCGTGGATTGAGTGGCATTACCTTCATCACCACTTCTAGTAGGGGTGCCTCTCTGAGAGCAACTGATGTCAGGAGAATGCAAATGATATTTTGGTACTTCTGTACTTCTGATGTGATGCTGTTCACATGCAATACGGGCTTTTTCATAGCAGACAATTGAGGAAAACAATGTACTGCAAATCTAACAGAGCAGTAAATCAGTATGGCTTTCACTGCTTAGACATGGAAGTTTACAGTAAGAAAACACACTTTTGCTGTGCTAACAACCAAGGCCTTCATATGTGCCTCAGCTGGCAATGTAGCCTGTACAGGCCTCTCACTTCACAAGGAGGCAAGACACAGCATTATTGCAAGCTTTTGCAATGTGATGTGGCCTTCAGGATGTGATCTGGGAAATGTAAGCTCTTTTTAGAATGCTTTGTGAGTACATGGAGATCTAGGGAGGATAGGCACTATCACAAAGGAGAGCTTTTATAATAGTATACTATAAGATGCAATTTTTTTTCTGGACAATATAATTACAAACCCAGAAAGCTCTGAAAATTCACTGAATTTGCTACTCGTTTCTAAGCTGTGCAGAGCTGAAGCTAGAACAGAGCAGGAAATTCCATACTTTAGAACTTATGCTACTTCAAAAACATTCCCACAGTACCTTAAGATGAGTCCAAAGTCCTTTCTCAATTTTGAACTAGACAATGCTGCAATATTTGGGGGGTTTAGACGTATGTTATATCTCAGAGAAGTAGTTAGGGAGTTGCCATGGTTTATCCAGTCAAGTGGAAGTTGCACATTAGATGTAAACATATGGCTACAGGGAAGATTTCGCTCACAAATTCAGCTGTTTGTAGGTGTCTACATGTGGGTGGAGTGTCTAGGCATGCATTAGAGTCAGTGGAGAGCTAGACCATACTGTCAGTGAGGACTAGAGTTATTCAGGTGAACAAACGGAGGTGTCTATTGTCGGCTAAGCTGATGAGAAAAAGATTGTATTGACTGGCTTGAATTAGTGACATAGAGAGCTTGTGCCATTTGAGAAGCCCCGTTGTATCCCACTTGGCTTCCCACTTCCCAGTCAGAACGTGTGAATCTTCTATAGATCCTGTATCATATTTGGGAGACCCATGTGGATGCCTTAGATACTCTATAGCCTCTCAAGCAGCACTAGATATCTATGTTTAGGGAAATGAATTAAGATCACCTAGATCACCCAAGTTGGGTGTCTTAACCTTGAACTACTCCCACAGAAATGCCCATTCAAATGGTAATAGTAGTGTGATACAGCTGGGAAAATCACTGTTATGGAAATCATTCCAGATCTGCTAGTAGATGTTATCAAGGCATAGAAGAAGTACATGAGGTGGATCATCCTGCCTTTCAACAAGCCTGATTATGTCTGAACTCATTTAAGTTACAGGAGATGGGAAGTTGGCTCATGGCCTCGGACAGAGAACTTCAGACTACTGTGGTGAAGGAGATGACATTTCTCCCACTACAAGACAGCTGAAAGAATCCCAGAACAGCCAAAAGAGCAAAAGCCTGGTATGAAGAGCCAACTGGTCCTAGTCCAAGTGCACAAAATGGAAGTGCACTAGGGTGATAGAAAGTCCTGACTAACTAGGAAATCATGGGGCCCAGGTTCCAGCCCCGATGTCCACTGTGGCACCAGCGAAAAAAAGAAGAAGAAGAAAAAGACAGAAAAAAAGCATGCTGTCTACATGGAAGATCCTCCTTCTGCATTAACAGTGTAAACCTGATGAATATGACAAGTGCTACTGATGGGACATGCCAGACTTCTGGTGCCTTTAACCTCATCAGATTGTGCAGCACAGCGGCTCACGAAAAAAAAAGTACAGTCACAAAGCAACTCAGATATATGGCAAGGTTTTGAGGTAACCGTAGTCACACAGTTAAGGTGTCAGTATTTTTTGGAGAAGATTTCACCTCCCTATTTATTAAGAGGCAAACGGAGCGGTCGAAATTTATTGAAGGGAAGTTGGAAAGAGAACTGAGAATGCTCTGCTGCCAGTATATAAAAGTAGCATGTGCCTAACCTGAGAAAGCAGGGTTGCTTCTTGTTAACATTGCCTCAGAATTAATGAGGAAGAGGGGAAATGAAGAAAAGCAAAAAAAAAAAAAGAAAAGTGGTGCTTCATTAGCTGAGGCATAGAAAATGTTGCAGAGCAGCTGGGTGAGAAGACATGCCCATTCTTTCTCACAGTGCTACACAGGGAGCCCACAATGAAATTAAGAAGCAGCACAAACAAAATATGTACTGATACAGCAGGAATAATTAAGACATTGAATTAATTTCTGTAGAGACCCAAATTTTAACTGGACAAAGATGACATGCTTAAGTGCAGGTAAATGAGACACTGGCAGTGTAAGCAGCAGAAAAGATACAAATCTCTCACACTTTGGGGTGTAAGTCAAACATTGAGGGATATTAGTGAAACATTTCTTGCTTGAGTAGCAGTACATAAAATTAATTTTGAGGAACACCACCAACCCTGTTCCCAACCCTCTTTTCTGAATGCAACAGGTATTGATCACTCAGAGATAGATATCCACACGGAGAAATTTACTCACTCAACTCAGCATGGCAATCCCACTATATAAATGGGACACCTACAGCATATCCTTAACAAGAGCCCAGCTCAGAAGTAATGCTCATGTATGCCCAGAAATCGTATTTGCAACTAATGAGAAACTTCAAAGAAGTCTTAAAATGAAGAACAATAATTTTATAATCTGAGAAGACTTCTTTTCCTCTGCCCTGACTTCCCAGGTAATAATCCGAATTTGATAAAGCTTTGTGAACAAAGGACACCTACAAAGAGGGCTGGGAAATTCAGATGCACATTAACAGAAACTTGTGCAAGAGCAACAGGCTGATGAGACTACGACCCCATGTGAAAACATCTCATGTCCCTATAATCAGGCATTCAAGTAGGTTCCACCTCCCGAGAATTAATTACACCGACAGCAGGGGACACTACTTACCTCACCATTCAAGAAGCAGTAAAATACTGACACAAAGAAACCCTGGAAAGAATAGAAAGCAATCAATTATTAGGTAAGCATTTTAACACGCACTGAGGGGGGACTGAGCTTTATCCTGGGATCATCCTGAGGAAAAACATAATTTTGTTGAGATCATCCACTTCCAGACAGATGAAATCTTTGCCCTACAACTTCATGAGAAAATACTACGTGTCTTGCAGCTCACAGGTGAGACATGAGAGCTAGAATCTAGACAGCTCTTCCACTGATAGAAGGGATTGCCACTTCAGCTGTGCTAAAGCATATCTACAGCTTCCAGCTGCCTCCCCAAAATGGCACAGACCCCTCACAGGTGCTATGTCATGCCTGCTAGCTCTATGCGGATGTCTCAGACACTTACAGGGGGGCGTCAAATGGCCTTAGATGGTCTTGTGTGGGCAAGTGTATCATCAAGTTGCTTACATTCATCTGAGCTGAATTGCTCTGCGGAATCTATTGACAGCAGTGACTAGACCCCCGTAATGACTGCAAAGATTGTAATGACTATAATGGAAGCTCAGATGACAACATGATGACACTTTCGTCTCTAAAACTGTGAGCAGAATCCTACCCATTTTGCTTTCAGCAATGGAGTGTAATTATTGTCACCATAAAGCAGACATTCCCTGTGTTTTCTTTCTTACATATGTCTTCATAACACTAACAATAAAATAAGCAGTGTAGCATTTTTTGAGACATTGAGCATCAGCAGATAAAAAATACAATTAATTTTAGGGAACGAAAAATGTGGATTGGTTCACTGGTAAAGGCTAAAGTTCCTTTATTCATAGATTAAAAGGGACATTTTTCATTTTGGATATTCAGTTGTGATTTCTGCTCTGTGTTTCAAAGCTAAACATGCAATTAGTAAAAACAGCAACCCAAAGCTCAGAACTTTTGTAATCCATAACCCTAGATTTGGCTTGACAGTGTGTGTGCTGTATATTTGTATTGATATCCTGGGTATCAGAGTGCTTGTTCCTGCAGATATCAGAGGTAAAACATTAATGTCATAGTTCCACCCTAGTTCAAGAAGGTCTTTAAGCAGAGGTAAAGCTGTAGGACACACCTAAGCAGAAATGTGTGGCTAAACACCATTCAAGGTCTTCAGTCACTTTTGGTTTTGTGCAAATCCAGAAAGTTGGGGCAATTACTCACGTTCCACTGCCTTTTACATCCTGGCAGAACTCCTGTTAAATTCAGGGGAGGGAGGAGATAGGGTATGAGTTCTCAGTTCATACAGTCTGATGAGTGCATGCACCATTGCTGGAGAGCTGGAGTGAGAGGCTGGGCAATATATCTAATATCTCAACTGAGTGAGCCCAACAGGTAGGAGTTGTTTCCCTTCGTTGTAGCAACATCTAGTCTAAGTCTCAGCTCACTGTGTGCTCTGTGAAGAGAGAGATACCTTGGGAGGCTGATTCATCATCCTTTCTCAGGCAGTTTAGGATAGAATGAAACATCATCTCTCTCTCCATTGACCTTAGATGGAGCCCAGGTGAGGAGCTGTAGCCATAGACTGAACATAGTGCTGATATTAAGGGAGATGAATCCCTCCAGTACACACCTGAGAGGAGATCTCCACTCCATATGACAGGCTTATGTATCTATTACGTAAGCATGAACAAAGCTGAGCTATTTTCAACTGATATTTCTATCATGGACTTCATTGCCATAAGTTTCATGGCTGAAAAGCACTGAGGATCCTTCCAGCAGTAGCTGATACCAGCTGTAAACTTGCTCTCTTACCTGAAAAGACTGCAGGAAGGAATTGAAATAGATGAAGACAATCTGGGAAATGTCATCTTCACCAGGGTTGACAAAGAAAAGCATATAGGTGATGCCTAGCAGAGGCAGAAGAACTAACGTTGCCTTGACTGCCTTCCTGTGGGCAGGAAACAGAAAACACAAGTGAACACAAGAAAGAACAACTGTGTTATCTGAACCACTGTAGATTGACCCAATCCAAACAAATCACTCCTTTAGTGGAGAGAGGGGATGAGTCTCAGAGCAATTCAGAGGGAAGTGAAGTACCTACATCAGCTAGAGAGGGAACTTAGGTGCCTCCTTAAGACAGTTCAGCTCTTGCACATGTCAAACAGGGTGAGAAGAAAACAAAAGGATGGCCTAAGGCATGTCTGCTCAGGGCTGTCCAATATGTACAGTCACTGGAGGAAAGAAGCATTTTAAGAGAGAAATTCACATGTCAACTTCTGTCCAGTGTCTAACACGAGTGAATGGAGTTAGGGAACACAAGTACTCCCTGTGGGTACCTCCATCTCTCGAAGCATGCTGCTAGACCATTTGTTGAGGATAGCAGTGGAAGCCTATATTTGCACAATGGCCAAATAATTTGAGCTTTTTCCCAGGAGGACATCCAAGTTTTAGACACTTCTCAGCATGCCTGCGCAGGAACAGTCCCAAGGTTCATGACCAGCTCATTGTGTAACCCAAGATGGAGGCTCCTAGGGTCCTCAGGCAATGAAGAACACAAGTTTCTTAGGGCTCAGGAAGATATTTCAGAGGGAGCCTGATCGCATGTCTGAAAGGCTCGACAGAGTTTAGCAGGGGAGCAGGGAAAGAGTGACAGCCTCCACTTTGGGTTGTGAGGCCACAGGTGGGTTTGCTAGTTAACACTTTCTGACCACTGCCTGACCACCTGGAGAAACGTGTTCCGGGAAAGCCTTTGCCTTTGAATCCTGCTGTTTGTCCCCACACTCTGAACGCCAGGGGACAAATAGGAACCTTTTTTATATCCCTCCCTTTCTCTCTCTTCTTCCTCCAGACAGTTTCTGTCCTATCAATGAAGCTTGCATTAGGCTGAAGCCTTGAGATTCTCTGCAGGTTTGGTGAGTGGTTTCTTACACCTCAGGGTGATGTGATAAGTGTACAATTTAGCTGCTGACCAGGGCAGGAATGCTGTGCCCATGAGACCTGCTCTATGCCCATCTTTTGATTCTGTCTGGAGTGTAAATGCTTTCCCTCTCTCTGCAACACCTGCACACCCAACGCAATTGCTTAGGGCTGTCTTATAAATAGTAAACAAGCAGGTGGTGCACAATGAAGCATAAGTGATTATTAACAGAATTATTAGGGGTAATCTTTATTATTGGTGCTATAGCGTCTTGGGATGTCAGTTGCAGAACAGCACCTCATTGTGCTAGATACTGTACGAACACAGAAGACTGCAATTTTGCTAAGTCTGTATAATGCCGTAAGAGGCAGATAAAGACAGGCAGGTAGGCAGGCAGGGGAGCACAAAAACATTGCCAGTGTCAGGATTGAGTGACAGTCTTAACAAAGTAGCTGCCACATCATTTAATACTTGCTTAACAAATGTTTGGAGTACTCAGCTTTAGAGCAGCAAGGCCTGCCCCAGGCTTTCCTGGAATTATATGGCTTTCTATTTAGGCTGTGAAAAAGAAAATTCCTTCACTGAGCTTGTAGCAAGGATAAGATCACCGTCATCTGTTCAAGGATGAAGGCAGTTACTTTAAATTGCCTCAGAATCTAATATCTCTAATGCTCCCTGCAAACTGTGGGAAGGATAAAACTGCACTGAGATTTGAATCAGGTTTTTTTCATGCTAGTTTTAGTTTTGTGGCATGAGGCTTGAGCATGAAAAAGGGGTATTTTTCCCCTTCATTTCTCAGGAAATGTGCAGAGGAGTCTGAACAAGAAAATTAGACCACTGCATTAACTTCACATTTGTCCCCAAACCTCAGACAGGAGTTAAAGGAAGGAATCAGGCAAAACAACAAAACCCCATTACTGCAGCAAAACTGCCTCCAAAGTCAAGAGCAGGCTGATTTGAGGATGTCAAGAGTCTAGCCTCAGCTTGACACACTGAGATTTTATCTAGAAATGATTTAGAGGATTGTGACCAATCTTACTCCACAAAACCTGTGCTATTTCCCAGTGTGAGGACCTGTCTGTCCATAAATGCTCCAAACATCTTGCAAGATACTGCAAATGGTAAGAGAGGAAGAGCAGTCAGCATCTCCCGATCTCTAAGAATTTGCTTTTGGACTGTTTAGGCTGATGTAAGTCCACACTGCTGCCAGAAGGGGCCAGGCCACCTTCCTTCTGCTGCCCTGGGCTAAACATTCCTGGCTTCTCCTTTCTGCCATACTAGTGCTTGTGAGGTTGCACAGTCAGCCAGCTCAGGAAGCTGATCCGCCTGAGAAGCCACCCCATATAAAGGTAATGATTAGTTAAGGATCAGTTCCGTGATGCAACCCACTGAGTGGTTACACTAATGCTGGTACCAGCTGCAGGGAGAGGGCACAAGCGCCCTTCATTTCCACACCCTACACTTTGAAAAGAACATTAAACCCTACTGTAAATACCTGTACGTGCACAGTAATCATCAATAACGATACTGCTGTTGATTACAGGTATGATATGAATGTTTTGGCCCAGGCTCTGTTCTTCTTTTACTTCTGACTCTGCTAGGAGATTAGTATGAACAAGGATCTTAATATGCATCTGCACATGATTTACTGGGATGTCTTGATATATGTAGATGTTTTGCATCTACAAAGCTAGAGACTGGGACAGAGAAGTGACCTAGGAGGGACTGAACAGCTTTTCACCGATTCCCCAAATTAGCTGAATGAATGGTCTAGTCATCGGTGAAAGGAGTTATGACACATTTTTATAATATAATACATATGCTCATGTACATATAGAAATTCCTCACTTGAAATTGAATCCTTCAGATTTCATTGGAAGGGGGTAACTTCACGGGTGTGTTGGGGCACGTGCAAGCCTGAAGGAGGTGAAGAGGCTGGTGGTTGCGGCAGTGCATGTGTCTCTGTGCCTGTAAGCCAAGGCTGTTTGCATTGTTTCGACATTGAAATGGAGTGGACAGAAGAAATGCAGGCACGGATAGCCTGCAAAAATAAATACTGTGTACCTAACTGTATGAGCTCAAGGGGCAAGAAAGACACCTTCTGAGGTCAACAGTGGTATCTGGAAAGGCAAAGATGGGACAAGGACAGGGCAGGCAAAGCAGTTCTTTGTTAACACCACGAACAGCAAGAAGCACCAGCTGACTTACCTGTACTGTATTGTTTCTGAAGTGGTTGAAGCTCTCAGCTTTGTCATTAAAATCCTAACTATGTTAAATAGAAATACAAAATTTATCTGGAAAAGAAGGAAAAGAGAGGAAAAAATAAGACCAGTGAGTCAAATAATGGCTTAAAGGATGTGATACACCTTAAAAGGCACATTTTGCAGTTCCAATCTGATTGAAAACAGCCTCTTGGTTTTACCATTGATTGCAACAGACTCAGAAGTTTACTAGAAATATCAGATTATGCATCAGCTATTAATGTTTTCAAAACAGCAATGAAAATGGAGTACAAAATTAACGGTCCCAGCGAGGAACTTATTTTTACTCCCTTTTACTCCTTTCCTGGGTGCCACAAGGATCTAAGAGTGGGATTTGTTCGGCTATTTGCACCTGCCTCTGGCTCAGCTCATCCAAGGCTCCCCGCGTAGAGTATTTGGCAGCACTGTGCTGTGTTGATATGGCAGGTGTTTGAAACCACCCTCCCGCTCCACAGCAGGCTGTAATGGTTAGGCAGGGCTCCCCAGACCCGAAGTACAAGACTGCATTGCAGAGATCTGAATGTGAGCTAGTCACACTGGACTGCCTCTGTATTCGGTGGAGGCTATACATTGCACTCCACAAGAGACATTTAAAACAGAGCAGATGAATCATACCTGAAAAACGCTTATTTTTTTGCACTGTCTTTAAAGGTGAGATGATGGATTTACCACTTCCCTTTTTAATCTGCTGAGCTGGGTAATTATTTATTTCTGTTACAATCTCACCACTGAGAATTGAGATTTGCTCTAATTACTGTTGTTGTAGCATCTGCTAGCGAGTTTCTCACAAAAGTTTCCTCTCGGTGTAAACAGGAAAGAAAAAAAAAACCCTGAAAAGAAGATTCCGATTTGTAGACTGTGATCAGCAGAAGGATTTGGCACCTAGGAGCAAGTTTTGGGTTGCTTTCAACACATAAAGTAGGGTAGCTTACAACATACTGATCTGTCTCAAAATTGTCGTCGATGTACACTGTCAGAAGTACAGAATTGTTGTCTCAGGATTGCTGAGGTCACAACCTAAGCTTGTGAGAAGATATTTATCTCACACTCATTTCCCGAGTCCCAGGGCTCCTGGCATTTTGCAGTCTATGAATGGAACAATTCCGTGATTGACTTCCAACTATTTATGAGCACTGTAGCAGAGCTGCCAATTTAAAGGTGTTCTCAAAATATGCTTTTTTTTCTAGCATAGAAAATTTTTGAAATGTGCTACATTTCAACCATTACAGTATCTTGGCATCCATCATATCATTCCCTGAGGTTACTGTAACATGGTTTATAACAAATGGTGCAATAAGCACCTGGACACTGGCAGTGTTGGGAATTATGTACATTAAACACTTATTACATGAGATACAAAAATGCTGCTCTAGGAGTTAGCGTGACATTTTTTGAAATTATTGTCTTAGCAGAGCAGGGCCTTAGGGAGTATAAGAAATAAATAAAACAGTGCAGTTTGTATACTTGTTCTTGCTAGAATTGTCTTAGTCCCCATCCCTGGAGGTATTTAAAAGACGTGTAGATGAGGCACTTAGGGACATGGTTTAGTGGGCATGGTGGTGTTGGGTCAACGGTTGGACTCGATGATCTTAGAGGTCTTTTCCAACCTCAGTGATTCTATGATTCTATGATCAGTGGTTTGACTTGAATCTTAAGCTCCTCACTTTGGTGATTGCACCATTCCTCAACGCCAGAAAGAGAAATGTTCAGGCAGTGTCTACTGAGGGGAGTGGGGGTGTCCTTCAGAAAGAAAACTTCTGCTTCTGAAATTCTGCTACCAAATCTTGAGGTTTTCATCAGCTCAGAATCAGGTTTGGGTTACTTCTATCGAGGATGCAAAAAAGGCACCAATCCAAAACTTGCTACTTTCGCAATCATCATGGAAGGTGCCAGATGGAATTATAGACTCTTAAGCAAGGGCATGTTCCAAAAGACTAATCACATGGGATTAACATGATGAACTGGACTGGAGAAAGCATTTCAGGTTTCGTGAGTCCTACTTTGATGTGACAGCAGGGGACTGGAAATTCAAATTGCCACAGGCTGCATCAGAAAAATTAGGGATTTCTCTGAAATTAAATTGCAGAAGTGCAATTCATCAGTCCAGAAGGAGAATTGCTAGCTGAGTTACTTCAAGTTTGGGAGTTACTTCACTAGAAATAAACTTATTCTATATAAATCAGTTTTTCATTCTCCCACTCTTTCCCCTAACCTCCCCCATCCAAAGGGTGCAGAAAGAAAACAATGATGACATACAGAAAGGATGTATTAATACTTCTCACCTAGATTTTCATGTATGTTTGCACTGGTCCCCAGTGGCAGCTGCCTTGCTCATCTGGTTGGCAGCATTAATACTGATTGTCTCAGTTGAAGCTCACTGTGTGCTGGGTACCACCAAAAGCTGAGCATCCCAATGGAGGCCACATTCAGGGAGACAATTCAGCTACCCAAGCACAGACCACAGTACCATCTGAGGCACTCTTGCATAGCTAAGGCCTATGAGTGGCACTGGTACTTGCGAGACAGGGCTGATAAGAGACCGCAACTGTCTACGGCAGCAACAGGAAGGCAGATACATCGGCAGTCACTTTTAACAAGCTGCCCGAGTGTCGGAGGAAAGCCTGCTAGGGACATTATTTCTATAACATTTTCTGGGAGAGAGGAACACTGAGGCCAGAACAGGGGCGTAGGCCACTCACCCTGAGTCCTCTTCCTAGTTCTTGCATTGAATATGCTGCACATCCTTAGTCACATGGGCAGTGTTCGAGCCTGTGGGTCTGAAGAATGACACTAAAATCCATCTGAGGACGTACTCAGCAATCTCAAGTCTGCATTTCAGCGTGACTGTCACCCTGCTTCTTCCATTAATGTTTGTAGTCATGTACTTGTCAACAATGTGGATGGTCTTGCAAACATCTTATTGTTATACTGTTTTCCTTCTCTCTTTCTCCCAAAGTTCTCCTTTGCTGTGCAATCTTTCAAACGCTGGAGAGGATGCTTTAGGTCTCATGCCTGCAATAAAACTGAGTAGTCTTGTAGACAGCCCTAAGGTAGATATCTGCCCCTGAGCTAGTTACCACCAGCTCCTTTAATAACCAATGGAGAAAAATAGCTACTTTTACATTATAGTTCCTCCTGTCTATTTCAGATGTTTACTTCAGCATGACATGATTCTCCCCACGTTGAAGTGCCTCTTTATGTGACTTGCATGGACAGACCTGTTGGGAGGGTATATATTATAGGGCTGTGTTACAGGGCTGCATTTAGTGACTGCCTAAACACAGTCACTAAGAGCCATTTTTGGTGCCATGGTGTATCCTGCCTGACCTCAAACTACTACTTCAGAACAGCAGGGGCTTTCTAGAGGTATCTTTCTAGAGGTATCTTCTCTGCCAGACCCACATGGGGCTGATAGAGCATCTGAAAAGGTACTATGCACCTATGTTTAGGCAAAAAGACCTCTCCTCTGAGTTAGACTAAATAAATCCTATCTTGATAGTCTTAACATTTCCCAGTGGAACAGCTGTGAATACAAAGTCACACTGATTTCTGGAAAAGCTCAAAGGAACAGAAGAAGACTTCTTTGGCTAATGGTTGGCTGCCTTAATCCCTTTGGCGCTTTGGTGCTACAGTAATAACTGTCATTTACAGAAAATCTGTCCCATTGCTCACCCAAGGCTCCAGAAACACTGATCCCAAATTCCACCTTACCTAACCGCAGAAACAAGCTCAGACCTGGGAGTTTTATTTCCTGTTCTGATCCTCATAAATGGCTGCTCTGTAAATAGCAAACCTGGATCCAAACTCCTCCGGATTCTTAGGGAGGGTCCCAAGTTTAAACTGCTCTGAACTCTAGACCTGACATTTACTCACACAATTACACTTTGCTAACATTTAATAAATTAATTTTATATGCCCCTCAAAGCCCTAGTAGTCACCTAAGGACAAATGTCAGACCTGACACCCAGTCATCTGACCCCCCTGCATATGCTGATGTGTAAAGAAAGAGTGTGAGGACAAATACTCAATGACACCATCTAAGTACAAAGTCCTAGCTTTCAGCAACAGGCAACTCTGAGGACTTTTTGAGACAGGCATTAGAGATTCATCTCTGTGCCTCAGTGAGCTTTTCCTCCCTGAATGGGTCTAATCCATCAACTCAATTTTCTCTTGGTTTCATCTTTACAACACCCAGTGCCAGTGAGTACTACACTTTAGCAGTTCATGAGGAGGGAGGAAAATTTGAAAAGAAAATAAACTTGCCTGAAAAGCAAAGAGAAACCAGTTCCAAGAGAAGGAGGGCGGAAAAAAGTAACATCAAAATGTGGTCTGTCTTTCCCTGCAAACCAGAGTTTTGTTTTTTTAAAAGCGCTGGTAAATGGGACGGGGGGAAGTAGAGCATCCTGGGCTGGCAGGAAGGTACTGGAAAAATTAGTCATATATATCAGCCCAAGAGGTGATGGCTGGGACGCAAAGAGGATCATCAAGTCAGGAGAAACCTATGGCCTGTTTTACGCATAAAGTAAGGTTAGAAAAATCATTCACATCTCCTTCTGGCTTTAGAATCTATGAATAATGTATGCAGCTCTTTCAAGGCTTGGTTTTCCACTCTCTCACAGGGCTACTTTCCACAGCTGTTGCTGCCCCTTGACAGGACATGAGTGCAGCCTTTGGCTTGTTAATGCACAAAGCTCCTGTTACTGGCTTCATCCCACAGGCTTTTTCAGGAAAAAGAATAACTAATTTTTCCCCATTCTAGATTAGCTACCTAAGAGAGAAAAGTGAAGCGACTTGGCCTTGCCTACAAAGCGATTCCATTTCACAGTGAGGATAAGAAGAGTAAAAGCATAAGGAGCTGAGTTGGATGGGCATAATTTCATTTTAGATTACTTCTAGGCAGCTGGTTATCCCAGGCTCTATTTATATTCAGTGGAGAGAAACAGGCACTTTTCAGTGGTGGTTCATTTGACTTATTTTAAATGAGTGTTTTTGGATAAATAGTGCTTGGCCTTGAACCAGTTGCCCACACAAAT